CTGAGACCGTGTGACCATGTACCTCTTTGTTTGGGGACGGTCTGCCTCAAGGGTCTAAGAGCTGAAGCAGGGAGACTGAAGTGGCCTTTCCTCACTCCTATCCCCCCCCCACAGTGGCTGGAGGCTGGGGGCCATGGGGCCCAGTGAGTCCCTGCCCGGTGACCTGTGGCCTGGGTCAGACCTTGGAACGACGGACATGTAATAATCCTGTGCCCAAGCACGGGGGCCCCTTCTGTGCTGGTGATGCCACGCGGACCCACATCTGCAACACAGCCAAGGAATGCCCTGGTCAGCACCTCAAGATGCACCATTTCCATGCCTAAGCCCCCCACCCTTCTCTGCTGCCCTGTTCCTGCTGCTAATGCCTTGGTCTTGCCTTAAATCCCTCCACTCCTGGCCCTGATGCCTTAGTTCCACCTCCGATCACCCATTCCCACAACTGATCACCGCCACTCTGCCCCCCAGCACTCATCCCTTCCTTTCAACTTCTTTGCTGGCTCCCTTCTTTGGTGCGAGCCCCTGCTACCCCTGTCTCTGCAGTGAATGGAGAGTGGGGGCCGTGGCAGGAATGGGAAACATGCACCCGCCCGAAGGTGTCACAAATCAAATGCCAGGAGATCCAAGGCCAGCAGGCACGCGTAAGGGACTGCATTGGCCGCAAGTTAACTGGACTTCGCTGTTCTGGGGATCAACAGGATATCCGGTACTGCTACAACATCCATCGCTGCTTGTGTGAGTGCTCCCCAGACTGTGCTGTGAGGGTGGGCAGCCCATGAAGCGATGGGGATTTCTGACTCTCTGCCATGGACCCCGTGTCCCTGCAGCCTCTCTCTCACTAACCCCTTGAAACCACTAATTCTGACCCCTTCTTCTCATTGCAGTGGAAGGCTCATGGACAGAGTGGAGTACCTGGGGGTTGTGCACACCCGCGTGTGGACCCAGCCCTACCCGCTCCCGCCAGCGCCTCTGCAAGGCCCATCTCCCCAACTACGCGTGAGTGAAGAGGCAGAGTATGCCTAAGAAGGGGCAATGATACCGCTATGTCAGCGTTCAGGGCAGGAGAGTCAGCTACCCCCAACCAGGGCTTCTACCACTGGGCCTAAGGTGCCTCCCTTGCCCAGTGCCATTTCTCAGCTTCAGGAAGTGGGGAAAACTAAAGAAGAAGCTGAGAAAGAAGATATTGATGGGAGAGTTAGTAGCCTTTGTGCCCGTAAGTGACACATTCAGTCACTCGGCCATTCCCCCATTCACTTAGTCTTCCCTGTGTCTATTTGCTCTGCTCTCTGTTACCCATGCTTTGATGGGCTTGTTCAGTCACTCATGCCTCCATTCACTTACTCCTTCAGTCACCCATGCCTCCATGGGTGGCTCAGTGTCTCACTCAATGTCTCACTGCCCCCAGATACTTTAAGGCCTTTTTGGCAACAATTGCAGACAAACACACACATCCCAGATCTCATGGATCTCCCAAGAGATTTAGGTAGACAGGTCCCTATAGAAGGCATATGAGGAATGCTTGGTATGTGGGAAAGGGCCTGCCACCTCAACCTGGGTCTAGGAAACTGATCAGGCCTCCCTGACATAAAGGGATCAAGACTGTGTACACAGAGTCCTGGACACAGGTGATCAGTCACACAAAGTATTTCCCAGTGGCCAGGGTAGCCCAGGTATGGGAGAGGGTTAAAATACCCATGCATCCCTTCTTATTTCCACACTAGAGGCCCGGTACACAACATTTGTGCACTGGGCGGGGGGTGGAGGGGTCCCTCAGCCCAGCATGCACCTTTTCTCAGTCCAGGAGCCCTGGAGGTGGGGGGTGTCTGACTGCCGCGGAGGTGGGAGAGGCTCCCACCACTGCTGCTGTGCTTGCCAGCCATCAGCCTGGGTTCTGGCTGAGCAGCACTCCCCCTATGGGAGCACACTGACCACCAGGGGGCAGCTCCTGTGTTGAGCATCTGCCCCCTGGTGGTCAGCCGATTTGCATATTAACCTTTTATTATATAAGATAGCATGCATCAAACTACTAGATTAAGTCGCTTGTTCCCATCTCATGGAAGGCCTACAATCTGGAAAGTGGTCTCTAGCTATGGGGTTTAGAGTAGGTCCTAAAGATGCATTAGGGGTGTTAAGTGGAGGCATGAAGGACTTGACAGAGTGAGGGAATGAATGGAGAAAGGGGTGATTGAGAAAATCAGGATGTGAGTGAATGGAGGGCTTGCCTAGTGGGAGAAATAATCCAAGCAAAGACCATTCTGGACACGAGACTGAGTCTGGATAAAGAGGAAGAGAGACAGACGTTGCCTTGGGGCAGAGATTTGGGCACAACAACAAGGCCCTGAATGCTAGGGCAAAGCATTTGTTTTGTTTTTCCAGTGGGCAGTGGGGAGAGAAATGTAAAGGGTTTTGGATGTAAGAGAAGGTAGCTAGTGTCAACTAGTAACAATCATTGGCATTTATTAAGCACTTACTGGGTACCAGACACCACTCTGTAACTTATTTATCCTCAACTCAGTGAAGTGGGTGTTATTATTATTGTTGTTGTTTTTTCCATTATTCCCATTGTTCAGATGAGAGAAAGTGGTGCACAGGGAAGGTAAAGAAATTGCCCAATATCTCACAGTTAAAAATAGTGTTGGGCACATAGTATGCACTCAATAAGAGTTTGTTGAATGCATTCTTGCCTTCCCTGAGCTTCTCCCCTCCATTCCCTCCCTAATGCTTCAGGCCCACTATTAGCATCGTGGAAGGTCAAGGTGAGAAGAATGTGACCTTCTGGGGGACACCACTGGCAAAGTGCGAGTTGCTACAGGGGCAGAGGTTGGTGGTGGAGGAGAAGCGGCCATGTCTACACGCGCCTGCCTGCGAAGACCCTGAGGATGAGGAGCTCTAACACCTCTCTTCCATTCTGACCCTCTGGCTTCCCAGACCTCAATAAACCAGCCTCTTCCTCAAGAATGGGGCAATAGCATCTTCTAGGGCACAGCATGTCACAGTGACTTGTTGTGGAAAACTGTATTTTCCACTGTGGCCAGTTTGGCAGGAATGAAGGCAAGTATCCATCCATTCACCGCTGCTGAAGCCCCAGTATCTGCCCCCCAGTGCCTGGGGTCACCCAGCATGTCCTTCTGCAGAGCTCCATGTTATGGGTTTCCTGTTTGGCTGCTCGCCCTGCCAGGCACTTTCTGATTGGCTGGTGTGCTTGTTATCCATCTCCCCACCTCCTAAAGCTCTCTAGGTTCCCACCCACCAGAGCCTCTGGGCTGGCAAATTCCACATCAATCCCGGGTAAACAGCAGCAGGCAGCAGAGGCAGGGCTGGGGTGGCGCCCCGCTGCACCAGCACCTGCACCCACCCACTCCCAACAGCCCAGCTCCAAGGCTACAATTAGCGGCAACAAATAGCTCTGGAGGAGGGTGGAGGAAGTGCCTATGAGGTGCTTTAAGCTGGAGCGGGGGCAAAGAGAAGCTAGAGTCAGCATCTGCCAAGAGGAGCGCAAACGCAGACACATATTCCTGTTAGCATTTGTTCATTCCTTCAACACTTATTAGTGTCTACTGTATACTAGAATTAAGTCTGGGCATCTGGGGTGGAGGAGGGCTGGTAGAAGGAGAGGACATCTGAACAAGGGAACAGACTCAGAGTAAGTGACCCTTTCCTTTAAACATTTATTCAACACTTCTTAACACCTACTGTATACTAACAATAGTCCTGGATACCGTTGGGTATAGGAAAGAAGGGGAGTTGGAGTGGTACCTGTCTCCACAGTGAAGGGAACAAACCCAGACATTAGTACCCTTAGCATTTGCTCATTGACTTAACACCTTATGAATGCTGGGGCCCTTGTAATAAGACAAAGCATAAGAATCATCATAATTATGGTAATAGCTAATACTTAGAGAGCACTTACTCTATGCCTGGTAGTATTTTAAGCCTCCATAGCATGAGTTCACTTAATCTACAATGAAACTGTGAGTGTCAGTATTATTATCCCCATTTCCCAAGGAGGAAAGAGACACGAAAGGTAGTGGGCTGAACATTTCTGAAGCACCATGTCAGGAGCAGGGTTTAGAACTCGGTGCTGTGAGTGGAGGGGCACCTCTGTGAGGGAGTTTTCAGATGGAAGATTTGTGACACCCAGAGTATGTCAGGATACTCAGTTCTCTGGCTTGATTTCCTCTTGTGTAAAATGGACCAGTTGATGGGTTGGGATGAAGACAAAGTTGATAATCATCTTGGGAGAAATAAGCCAAAATGAGGGGTTCTGGTTGCTAATACAGCATGTGAGAGAGGTGTGTGTTTGCAAGAAAGTGTAAGTTTGTGTGTGTGTGTGTGTGTGTGTGTGGTGTGAGACACATATCTTTGTGTATGTGTGATATGCAGACCTATGGATCTGTGCAAAAATTAAGGATGTGCTGAGTGGATGTGCAGTGAATGTGAAGTTACAGCCATGTGCGCACCATAACAATGTAAGTTATAGAGGTGTGTGTGTGCACGCATGCACATGAGGGCAACATGGATATGTGTGTGTGAGTTATAAACAGGGGTACACACAACAACAAAAAAAGCATCCTTGGAGCCAC